TATATATACAGGGGCGGATCCAGCCTGGCAGAAAAGGGGGGGGCGCAGCCTGCGAGCGAAACGAGCAGCCTTAGGCTTGGGCCAGGGGGCCGCCTAGGGCCCCCAGCAAGGTCCAGGGGCAGAGCCCCTAGTGAGGGTGCAAGGGGGCGAAGCCCCCTTGAAGCCCAGCACATTTGAGGAATATGAGTTTGCAGTAAGTCAATTTTGACTATCTAGCATGGTAGTTTTCAGTAACAAATTAAAAAAAAATTTAAAATAGGTGCATGGAAAATTTTGATTCCTAGAAGGCGGGAAATGAGTTTTCCCGACTTCTGATGTGTCTTTTAATTACTTTTAAGTTCCTCAAAAATCAAGGTTTTCCCCTCTTGAAATTATTATGATGAATCAAATGAACACAAAGAAAAAAGGGAGGTTCAGGTTCTCCCAGGGAAAATGTTGATTTTTAAATGGTGGGAAATGAGCTTTCCCGACTTCTGAAGTATCTTTTAGCGACTTTAATTTAAGTTCTTCAAAATTCAAGGTTTTCCCCTCTTGAAAACGGTCAGGTAAGTTTTTCCCATTGTTATTACAGCAGATAGGCCTTATGTGTGTATACATACAGTACATAAACAAATTGAGTAATTGCATACGATTTTTTTTCCATGAATCAATAAATCCCAAAAAAGCAATGGGTTCTGCCCCGGGAAAATTTTGATTCTTAGAAGGCGGGAAATAAGCTTTCCCGACTTCTGAGGTGCCTTTTAATTACTTTTTATTTCTTTAAAATTCAAGGTTTTTCCCCTTTGAAAATGATTCAATGAATCAATGACTTCCGAAGCAAAAGGGGGTCCGGGTTACCCTGGAAAAATCTTGATTTCTAGAATGCGGGAAATGAGCTTTCCTGACTTCTGAAATGTCTTTTAAATTACTTTTTAAGTTCTTCAAAATTCAAGGTTTTCCCCTCTTGAAAACGGTCAGGTAAATTTTTCTCATGTCTTATTTTATGTGTGTATACATACATAAATAAATGAGTAGTTGCACGTGTATTCTTTTTTCCATGAATCGATAAATCCCAAAAAGAAAGGGTGGTCCGGGGGTTATCCCCCGAGAAAATTTTGATTCCTAGGCTTTCCTAACATGAAGTGTGTTTTAATGACATTTACGTTCTTCAAAATTCTAATTTTCTTATTGTAACATAAAAAAAAAAAAAAAAA